CAGGGATGGGAAGAGAGGAATGGATTCAGATGTTAGACAGTCATGCCGCTCCTTGTACTGCGTCAATAGGCACGTTGGGAGGGGACTCGCCACCATTCTGATTAGAATGACTGCAGATGCACCCACTCTAAGGTGAAATGGTGAGCTGGCTCTTTAAGAAGCAGGTCTTGTAATTAAAGAGCTTTTTTACGACTAATGCTCTGTGTTGTATTGTTGAAATATGTCAAGCAACAGCCTTCATTCCAGTTGCAAAAGGAATCAGTATCCTGACTCTCTGTGTTGTCAGTAAGTTCTTCATGGGATTCACAGGCTTTCATTGAACCTGAACAAAGTGAATAGGAAATCAGCACTGGTCCCAGAATGTACAGGTCTTGGGAACGGAGGCGCACAGCCTGGGGCCTTCAGTGTCACCCTGTCATGATCCTCAGAACCATCCCTGGATATGGGAACTCCTTTCAAAGCTTGATCATCTTGGGGAAAATGTTGGCTCTTTGTTGAGCATCTTTGGTATCAGACGGATTCTTTTGTCTTAAGTATCAGTTTTTTTTTTTTTTTTTTTTTTGGACAGGGTCTCTCTCTGTTGGTAGACTGGAGTGCAGTCTGACATGATCAGGGCTCAATGCAACCTCAACCTCTTGGGATTAAGTGATCCTCCTGCCTCAGCCCTCCAAGTTGTGGGGACTACAGGCATATGCCACCTCATCCAGCTAACTTTTTCTGAAATTTTCAGCAGAGATGAGGTCCCACCATGTTATTCAGGCTGGTCTGAAACTCCTGAGCTCAAGTGATGCACCCATCTCAGCCTCTCAAAGTGCTGGTATTACATGTGTAGCCACCATGGCTGGCAAGGACATTCTTTAGTTTCCATTCCCTCACTTGGAATTGGGGTAATTACTGCCTCACAGGGTCATTCTAAAGATTCTGCTCTACAGCACCGACACTTTACAAAAGAAGACATATATGAGGCCAACAATCATATGAAAAAATGCTCATCGTCACTGGTCATCAGAGAGATGCAAATCAAAACCACATTGAGATACCATCTCACGCCAGTTAGAATGGCGATCATTAAAAAATCTGGAGACAACAGATGCTGGAGAGGATGTGGAGAAAAAGGAACACTTTTACACTGTTGGTGGGAGTGTAAATTAGTCCAACCATTGTGGAAGACAGTGTGGCGATTCCTCAAGGCCTTAGAAATAGAAATTCCATTTGACCCAGTAATCCCATTACTGGGTATATACCCAAAGGACTATAAATCATTCTACTATAAGGACACATGCACACGAATGTTTATTGCAGCACTGTTTACAATAGCAAAGACCTGGAATCAACCAAAATGCCCATTGATGATAGACTGGATTGGGAAAATGTGGCACATATACACCATGGAATATTACGCAGCAATCAGAAATGATGAGTTCGTGTCGTTTGTAGGGACATGGATGAATCTGGAGAACATCATTCTCAGCAAACTGACACAAGAACAGAAAATGAAACACCGCATATTCTCACTCATAGGCGGGTGATGAAAAATGAGAACACATGGACACAGAGAGGGGAGTACTAAACATTGGGGTCTATTGGGGGGAAAAGGGGAGGGCCAGTGGGAGGGGGAGGTGGGGAGGGATAGCCTGGGGAGAAACGCCAAATGTGGGTGAAGGGGTGAAAGCAAACAGAACACACTGCCATGTGTGTACCTATGCAACTGTATTGCATGCTCTGCACATGTACCCCAAAACCTAAAATGCAATAAAAAAATAAGAAAAAAAAAAAAAAAGAAAGTAATAGCTAAGACTGACCACGTGCTTATTATCCACCAGGTGTTTTTTAAGCATGTTGCATGTAATTGCTTTAATTTTCTCTGTGATGTTATAAGTACTCATAATCCCGGTGGAGAGGAGGAAACAGAAGCACAGTGAGATCAAGTGACTTGTCCAAGGTCACAAAGCAGGATGGAACAGAGCCAGGAAGTGAACCTGAGTAGTCTCATGGCCGACTCTGCTCATAACCCACCCACTATGTTTTGCTGCCTTTCTGAATGTACAGTGCAGTGCCTGGCACATAGGAGACGCTCAAGGAGGATGTCAGTTTCCTTTCTGCTGATCCTAAGTTATACTCTCAAGGCAAAACAAGGTTAGGTGAGTGATAAATCAGTAAGCCACCTTCCAACTCCAACAGCCTAGAACCTACAAGGGCCAACTGGTATGATATGGATGGGTGAAAGGGAAGGCATTCCCTTCCTAACTAACACAGCGAAAATAAGCTAAATCCAAATCTGGCTTTATTGCAGACTTATTGTTGATAGGTACATGTTATTTATCTGAACTTCATCTACCAAGTTTATGGTAAAGTTGACAGTATCTAGCAAGTAATATCTACTGTTTGCCAGGAGATCTTGATTACTTTCCCTCAGAAACCACATTCATCAGCTCTAACCAGGTATTTCAGATTCACCTGAAATTCAGTAAATGTCAACCATTTATACATTGACTGATTGAGTGTGAAGCATAATCATGTATTTATTTATTCAGCAAGTACTTACAAAGTATCTCTATGTACTTGGCCTTTTGTTAGGTGAGTGAGTGACATATAGATTTTGCCCTCCAGGAATACATAGTCAGTAAGTGAGGCTGACATATAAGCAGGTAAGCTGTGATATCAAGGGCTGTGGGGGCCAGAAAAGGGAGAAATTGGTTCTACTCTGAATATCAAGCAAAGGCTCCACAATGTTGGGGCCATGTAATCGAGGTCTTTGTTTGTTTCAGAGAAACTGGTTTCTTTTTTTTTTTTTAATTTTACTCTAAGTTCTTGGGTACATATGCAGATCTTGCAGGATTGTTACATAGCTATAAGCATGCCATGGTGGTTTGCTGCCTCCATCCCCCCGTCACCTACATTAGGTATTTCTCCTAATGTTATCCCTCCCCAATCTCCCCACCCCCTGCTATCCTTCCCTACCTCCCCACCCCACAAAAGAACCCAGTGTGTGATGTTCCCCTCCCTGTATCCATGTGTCTCACTGTTCAGCACCCACTTATGAGTGAGAACATGCAGTGTTTGGTTTTCTGTTCTTGTGTCAGTTTGCTGAGAATGACGGTTTCCAGATTCATCCATGACTCTGCAAAGGACATGAACTCATCCTTTTTCATGGCTCCATAGTATTCCATGGTGTATATGTGCCATACTTTCTTTATCCAGTCCATCTTTGATGGGCATCTGGGCTGGTTCCAAGTCTTTGCTGTTGTAAACAGTGCCACAATGCCTGTTTAATACACGGTGTTGTGTGCAGAAAGCTGAAACTGGACCCCTTCCTTACACCTTATACAGAAATTAACTCTATATGGATTAAAGATTTAAACATAAGATCTACCACTATAAAAACCCTAGAAGAAAACCTAGGCAATATCATTCAGGACATAGGCATAGGCAGGGACTTCAGGACTAAAACACCAAAAGCAATGGCAGCAAAAGCCAAAATAGACAAATGGGATCTAACTAAACTTAAGAGCTTCTGCACAGTAAAAGAAACAACATTAGAGTGAACCAGCAGCCAGCAGAATCGGAAAATATTTTTGCAAGCTACCCATCTGACAAAAGGCTAACATCCAGAATCTACAAAGAACTAAAACAAATATACAAGAAAAAACCCTTTCAAAAAGTGGGCCAAAGATATGAACAGACACTTTTCAAAAGAAGACCTTTATGTGGCCAACAAACATATGAAAAAATGCTTGTCATCACTGGTCATTAGAGAAATGCAAATCAAAACCACATTGAGATACCATCTCACGGCAGTTAGAATGGTGATCATTAAACAATCTGGAGACAACAGATGCTGGAGAGGATGTGGAGAAATAGGAACACTTTTACACTGTTGGTGGGAGTGTAAATTAGTTCGACCATTGTGGAAGACAATGTGGTGATTCCTCAAAGATCTAGAAATAGAAATACCATTTGACCCAGCAATCCCATTACTGGGCATATATTCAAAGGATTATAAATTGATCTACTATAAAGATACAAGGTTTTTTTTTTTTTTTTAATTTAAAAAATGTTGTAGAGACAGGATCTCACTATGTTGCCTAGGCTTGTCTCAAACTCCTGGGCTCAAGTGATTCTCCCACCTTTGTCTCCCAAAGTGTTGAGATTACAGGTGTGAGCCACCATGCCCAGACTGATCAAGGTCTTGAGAGGGTGAATTTTTTCAGCTGAAGAGGGAGTTGGGGGCAGAGGGCATTCTAAAATTATAAGCAGAATAGTCCAAAGCTTTGAGGCACAAAAGATTGCATGTTTAGGAACATTGAAAGGTCATGGTGGCTGGAAAGATTGTAGCAAGAGCTTCAAGACACTGCCCGTTAACACTTAGAATGCACGGTTTATCTTTCAAAATCTAATTGCATTTGGATCAAGCTCCTATTCACCATGGTTGGTAAGAAGTTTAATGTCATTTCCTTCTTTGCAGCTCTCTCCCTCGGACTGAGTCAGAACCCAGGGCCTAGGAAAGATGGGGAAGTAGAAGGGTGCTGGTGACACCTTTCTGTATAGTGATCGCTAATTCTTGTCGAGGCCCATGTGGTCCATTTGAAGGGGATGTCTCTGCTGGGAGTCGTGCTGGTTCCTTTATGTCAAGCACTGCTGCAGAGACTATCATCAAGGGTTTTGTTAACTTATCCCCCACGTGCAAGGAGAATCCAGATCTTTGGAACAAAATGTCAGGGCTCACAGGTGGAGGGAAAAAGTGAATTCTTTTTTTTGTTGTTAATTCCACAGCAGTAAGAACCAAGATAGGAATTAATGACTCCATAGCCATCCTGCTACTATAGGAATAGAAATCAGCTATCAGAGCTAGTGACTACCACTCCCTCATAGAGAGTGATCTGGGGAGTCAAGGTTTGGGGGCTGAATTCCTTCCTGCTCATGTCAAGCGGCTTCCTGAGGCCTGGTGTAGAACGGCAGAGCTAGGCAGGCCCTGACCAGTGGCTCCATGTCTTCTGCAGGTGTGGCAGTGTGGCGGAAGTGTGGAGGTCCTGCCCTGCTCACGGATCGCCCACATTGAGCGAGCCCACAAACCCTACACAGAGGACCTCACTGCCCACGTCCGCAGGAACGCTCTCAGGGTGGCTGAAGTCTGGATGGATGAATTTAAAAGCCACGTCTACATGGCATGGAACATACCCCAGGAGGTAGGGATCTCTGGTGGGAATGAGTTCTCGGGAATTGGTGGAAAAACAAAACAAAACAAAATATGGGACTGAACCCTTCTTTCTGTGGGCCAGCCAGAGGCCTGCTTACCATGTGAGAATGGACTCTCAACCCCAAAACATAGTATATGCTGAGGAAAAGGGGCTGTGAGGCTCTAAGCCATTTCTTATACCCCATCCCCATCTCTGGACAGCATGCTTTAAGGAGGACTTCTCTCTGGACCTTCGTGTCCTTATTTTAAATGAGAAAGTTGGACAGGGAGCTTAAGTTTCCTTCATGCTCCCAGGTCCTCAGCTTCTCTGACATTAGGTGTTTCGTGGTCCTGGATTACAAATATACCAGCAACTACAAAAATTTATAAAAAGTATCTTAATCTTCCTATAGATTAGATTCAAACTTCTCCATTGAACCTTTGACCAGAGTTATAAAGACTCATATGCTTTTCAGATTTCTTGAGCCACGTGGATGGGGATGAGGAACACACCTATGGGGACCCTCACTAGGAGATGTGAGTTATTCTGGGGAGTTTTTAGACAGCTTTTAACCTTCACAGACCCTCATCATTGCCTACCACTGTCCTCTCTCCCTCTATCACCTCTATTTAAGAGATGCCGGAGAAAAAGCACTGTTTCTTGCTCGTTTTATTTAGCCAGGTATCAAGGGCATGTGTCCATGTGTCAAGGTGAAACATGTGGAAATGACCTTGGACTACTGAGTTGAGAAAACCCAACAGATCCCAGTCACATGATTCCAACCCACATACCAGCCTGTCTGCCTGGAGTTCATTGCTTGTGTTGCATTCTGTGTGAGACAGAGCTATCAGAGCTATTGACTACACGACCTTATTCTTTCCTCCCAAGGCCAAGGCAGTCCCCTTTGGAGTCCTTTAGGAAGCCTCTAATGGAGAAATGATTGATGTTCGCTCAAGGTTTCCATATGAAGGCCCTGGTACCTAAACTCTACACCAAGCTAATGTTACTCTGGTTAAATGATTGAGAAAGTAGACTGGGCCATGGGTAGGAGCTTTTAGCCTGCCTCCTGGCCACACCACCACCACAGGAGGGAGGGACTTGAGTTGGGTTGCATACTCACACAATCAGTGAGGTTTCAGCAGTTGGGAGCAAGAATGAGGAGTGGAGAAATATCAGCCAAAATGCAGCCAACCCTAATGAACCAGCCCTGAACTGTGCTTCTGACAGTATGAGTGTTTCTGGGGAACTGCAGTGCCTTCTGGACTCATCATCAGGATTGAATCACAGTATTCTGCACGGGGTGCCAAGCCCTGTGGTAGGTGTCCGCTGATGGCAAAATGTTAGAACGCTTGGAAGCTCCCCAGGAGCTCATCAGTGAGGCATTGCAGGCTCTGCTTAGGACTGGTGAGTGAGCATACTCTCACTGCCTTCTCTCTGTACCCCAGAGCTGCAAACCCTTTAGCCCTCCCCGCTTGCAGCTGACAAGTATTGAAATGCCCAGCCACCCAATGAATGGTAGAGAATTGAGTGAGTAAAAATAATTGAAAAATGAAATCCAGTGTCTGTCTGTGACTCCTCAAGGTAGGTAGTTCAAACCAAACCATATGGGTAGGGGGAGTGAACACAAAACAAATGAGAGGTGGAATTGCCCAGGATAAAGCCTTAGGTGGAGAGGCAAAGGGTCAGTGTGTTTCCTAAAACAATTCTGTTGCCTCTCCTGTTCCCTGCATCCAGATGTCTTCTTTTCCTCTTATTAAACTTGTACAGAGAGTCAATACTTCATCTCTCAATCCTTCTCCCAAGCTACATCCTGATACTTCATCAAGGCTGCTTTGTCAAGGTCAACATAGGCCTCCCAGCTGCCTAAGTTAATGGACATTTTACAGCCTTTAACCTATAGGATTCCACCTTTTCCTTGAATCTCTGTAGTTTCCTGGATCCATGATTCCACACCCTGGAATCTCATCTCTCCCTGATTATTCCTAACTCCACAAGGGCTCCTCTTACCTTCACTGGGTGCTTACATGCTCCTTGGGGACCTACCCTTGGCCTACCACTCTCATTATTCCCCATCTCCTTGGATAACCTCATCTACTCTTGTATTTGACTCCCACCCATATGCTGCCTCCCTAATTAATATCTCTACGCCTGACTTCTGCCTTCACTTTCAGACTCACATCTCCAACTGCCAGCTGGACATCTCCTCCTGGCTGTTCCCACAGGCACTCAGACTGAATCTGACCAGCCGAGCTCACTTTCTTCCTCCAAATCTGCTCCTGTTCTTGTTCTGTCTCAGTTGATGGAGCCACCATCTGCCAGACACATGAGTGTGAAACTGACATCATCCTTCAATGTTCTTCTCTCTCAATGTCCCAGTCAATCATAAGCCCTCCTTCCCACCCTGACCTCCTCTCATGTCTGCATTCAGGCCCTGTTTTCTTCTCTGCCACAAGCTTTCAACTTTCCTGGCTCAAGCCATTTCCTTCAAATTTATTCTTTACACTACCCAAAGTTATCTTTAAAACATTCACAACACCCATGCCATTGCCCTGCTTAAAATCTTCAAATGAGGCCAGGCACTGTGGCTCATACCTGTAATCTCAGCACTTTGGGAGGCTGAAGCAGGTGGATCACTTGAGGCCAGGAGTTCAAGACCAGCCTGGCCAATATGGTGAAACCCCATCTCAACTAAAAATACAAAAGTTAGCCGTGCCTGGAGTCCCAGCTACTCAGGAGGCTGAGGCAGGAGAATCGCTTCATCTGGGAGGCCGAGGTTGCAGTAAGCCAAGATCATGCCACTGCACTCCAGCCTGGGCGACAGAGTGAGACTCTGTCTCAAAAAAAAAAAAAAAAAAAAAAATCTTTAAATGACTCCTGCTATGTACAAAATCAAGCCCAAAGGCCAGTGTTTGGCACAGCATTGGAGGTTCCCATACTTTCTCCCCTGCCTGTATTTTAACCCCATTGCTGCCACTCCCTATTTTGAAGTCTGCATACACTGTGTGGACTATGGGAACTGCCTGTCACACACCGTCCGTGCCATGCCATTTCTCACGACTTGGCGCTTGCTCATCCTGCTTGGCATTGCCTACCCTTTACCTCTTCCTGTGTGCCCAACCCTACCAGATCTTCCCCATCCTTTAAGCCTCAGCTCCAGGGGTCCCCCCTCTAGAAAGCCAGCTCCAACTGGAGAAAGAGCTCCCCCTCCTATACATAGCTCTGTTATTACATGACCAGCCTGTGAAAGAGTCTAAAAGTCTCCCTCTCATTAGAACAGTGGCTTTCAAATCTGATTGAACTTCAAAATCACCTGGGTTCCACCCCCACAGATTACTATTTAATTGGTTTGGCAGGGGCCCTGGGATCTGTTTTTTTGGAAAATTCTTCAGAACCGCTGAGAACCACTCCAATACACCATGGGCTCTCTGAGGACAGACTACGTTATTCATTTTTGTGTTATGATATCTAGCACAAGGCAGGGCACATGGTAAGAGCTCGGCAAGGCCTTGCTAATGCTTATTAACAAAAGAGTCTGCTGGCAGTGTGCGTAATCCCTCTCTCCCTTGGTCAGTGACTCCTACAAGCAGATCTTCAGACCAGTTGCATCAGAATCACTTGGAGAACTTTTAAAAAATACTCATCTGGGTCTCATCCTCAGAGAGGATTTTGAACGGTAGGTGCCAGAATCTATAAAAATCCCTTTAAACTATCATCTGATAGTTTAAGGTGACCAGATTTGGGTAACACCCATTTAGCTAGTCCTTCTCATTTTTCCCAATTCACCTCAAGTGTTGCTTACTCCAGGAAGCCTTCCTTGATTGCTTACCTCCTCCTTTTCCCCCAGTCCTGGCCTCCCCACAATGTAAGAAGAATGAGGCCCCTCTTCTATTCTCTCTTTCACTTTCTCTTCCCTTCCATGCCTCACCCTTGTTCACAAAGAGTATGTTTACTTGTCTGAAACACCCAGACTCTCCTTTCAGGCTGAGAGTGTGACTTACTTTTATCTGTACACAGTGTTTAGGACAGTGTCTGACACATAATAAATAGGTGCTTGGTAAAGGTGAGTTGGAAAAGAAGAGGGAGGATGCATGAATGCTACCTGCTCTACACAGTTTCCCTGTGAGGTTTACCAGCTGCCCCTGAGACAGTGACGCCCCAGTACCTTTTCCTCAGCTGCAAGCACATCTGTTCCCAGTTTACTTAACCTTTCAGCTACAACATCCCAGCTGCAAATATGGAGCTGGAGCCCTTCACCCTGCCCAGGTGGCTGCTTTGAGAATTAAGTAAGTTAATACATGTAAAGACTTTGATCAGTGCTTAGCACACAGAAAGTGCTAGGTAAGTGTTAACTCATGCCCTGTACATTCCTTCCACAGCTTTAAAATGCTCATGCTGGGCAGACATCCTCTGCTGGTTGCCTTCTAAGCAGAGGCCTCCTCGGAGCTGTGTGCTGAGCAGATCTGGCCCTCTCACCTGCTCCCTGAGCACGTCCAGTCCCCAGCTTTTGAAAGGCCGAAGAGCCTCCACCTCTTGCTTCCTGCTACTGTAATTGAACATCAGTTCGTTTGTTAATAAACAGAAAGTCAGTCTGCAGGAAAGCATCAATATTTTCTCAAGCAGGGTTCAGGAGCTCTAGACTGCTTCTCTTGCCCAAAGACAGGCTGGTTGCCAGGGATGGCTTGTCGTGTGCTTCATAATGGCATTCCTTTAAGTCTAGCTACGAGGAATTTTGTGACTATATGGCTGCAATACTGGGGACTTTTTTATGTGGCTAAGTTCATATATTTGTTTCCTAGGGCCATGGTTACCATGAACTTGGTGGCTTCAAACAATAGAACTGTGTTCTCTCTCAGGTCTGGAAGCCAGAAGTCCAACATCCAGGTGCCAGCACAGCTGTGCTTCCTCCAGCATTTTGAGGGGAGAGTCTTCCCTTGCCTCGGCCAGCTTCTGATAGCCCTGGGGTGTTCCAGGTTATGGATATGTCACCTTAATCTCAGCCTCTGTCTTTACACAGCCTTCTCCTCTTTCTCTCTGTGTGTATCCAGACCTCTTTTTTCCTCTTATAAAGATATCGGTCATTTTAGTCATATGCGGTCATAATTTAGGCAAACCCTAAATGCAGGATGATTTCATTTGAGACCCTGAGTTCATTATATCTGCAAAGACGCTTGTTCCACATAAAGTCCCATTCAGAGGTTCTGGGTAGACATGAATTTTAGAGGAGGCCACCATTCAACTCACTACACCAAGTATTTGGCAAAAGAGGAAGATGCATTTATTGTTTTCTAATAAGGGCCAAGGTGATCTCTGAGAAGGTTACTTTCTTCTCAATGTATGCCCCCTGCTCTGAAGATGGGTCTGATGCAATTTTTAGTAAACATACAGTGCAGACATGCTGAACTATTAAAACAGAAAAGGCAAAAGTCAATTGATACACAGGAAGGGGAAGGGAACTTGATATTCAGAAAGATGAGCTGAACTAAGGGCCAGACCTTGTGCTTCCTAGCAGGAGATGGCCGCCTGGTGGGTAATCTCTCTCTCATCTTTTACTCAATCATGTGGAGGGAGGCAAACTTTGCCCTGTTCCTAAGTGCAGAAAGAAACTTTTCCTGTGGGAACCCAGAAGTTTAGGAAAACACTGAGGCCTTCGTGAGATACATTCTTCTAGTGGCTCCCTCCAAAACTGAGACACGGTGTTAAATGTAATCACATAAAGGCGATTATAACACGAAGGGAGAAGGAATGAACGGATCCCGGACACAGTTTGCTGTTACAAGGATACAGTACAGTGGAGAGTAAAGGGTTAATACTTAATGAATGCCTTGGGGTCAGGTTGGAAGACAGATTACGTCTATTACCAGTTCCTGCATTCACCAGTTCATAAATATTTTCTCAACTCAGCAATGTAGTTCGTGCTCAGTGATCAGCCTGGGGGCACAGAGGTAAGTCTGATGGAAGTTTCCTGACCTTAAGGAGCTGGAGTCCAGCAGAGAAAGGCTCAGATAACAGTTTCAGGGAGGGCTCTGGGCAGGAGAGTGCGGCAGACAAGTCATGGATGAGGTCATTAAAAAGTACTAGGAAGCCGAAATTGCTCCTTGTGATTCTAGAACCTTAACCTTCAGGCTATAGCAGGTTCAAATTTTTATATTGCCTGAACTCTTGTGGGCAAAAATGAATCTATCTCTTCTATATCTAAATTGTGTTTTTATTCAAGCCCACATTGTCTGATGTGAAAAATGTGCTCTGTTCATGTCCAGATAAATGCAGACATTTTTGTGATCTTTCTCAGATATTTTAGACATAATCTGCCCAATCTCAGTAACTCGATCCCTGGAGTTGATGTTTGAACCAGGGGATTCCCACAGAGAGCATATGGACCACAGTGCTGGTGAGAGAGAGAGCTTCACTTCATCTGCCTCCGCTCTGGGCTGGCGTCTTATGAGATACCACATGCCCCATCTGGTCCCTGGCCTTCATCCCTGCCATGGTGTCATCCTCTGAAATGCACTGGGTCTTCCTCAGACCCCTCAGCAGCCTCTGCTTTTGCATTGCTTTTTCTCAGCCTGTTCTGTGCCCCATTCAACAGCTGGCGTGCAGGCCCATGAATTCTTAGTGCTGCCCAACTCTGCTCTGCAAGCAATGTGGAAGGAAGGGCTTATCTATCCTTCTCACTCCTGGACACATTCATGTCTCACTTCTGCTCTCTGGCTGCTGTACTGTAGTGGCTCGGGGCCACCTCTCTGATGCTCCTGAGAAATGAGGGACGCAAGTACTCTGGACACCAAGACTCCCAGGCTTAAAGAGAGTCTGCTTCTCCTGCAAGGACTTGGTCCAAGGAGGCAGAAGGACGGGATCTTCCAAACACATAGAGTAACATTAAAAGCACAAACTCTAGACCCAGGTTAATTGGGTTCAATTCTCAGCTCCACCACTTATTAGGTGTGGGGCCTTGGGCAAGTTACCAGGGAGGCCACTGAACCTCTCTTTGTCTCAACTCCTCATCCATAAAAGAGGATTGTGTAGCGCTCTTTATAGGTATGAATGGGCAAAATATATGCATATAAATAAAGTAAATATAGGCTGGGCGCGGTGGCTCAAGCCTGTAATCCCAGCACTTTGGGAGGCCGAGGCGGGTGGATCACGAGGTCAACAGATCGAGACCATCCTGGTCAACATGGTGAAACCCCATCTCTACTAAAGATACAAAAAATTAGCTGGGCATGGTGGCGTGCGTCTGTAATCCCAGCTACGCGGGAGGCTGAGGCAGGAGAATTGCCTGAACCCAGGAGGCGGAGGTTGCGGTGAGCCGAGATCGCGCTATTGCACTCCAGCCTGGATAACAAGAGTGAAACTCCATCTCAAAAAAAAAAAAAAAAAAAAGTAAATATACATACATGTGTATATATATGTCTGTCTTATTCAGAATACAGCCTAGCACTTTGGAAGTGTTGTTTAAGCCTTAGCTCTTATGATTCTTGGGAATAATATTAGAATTAGCATTATTTCATCTCAATGCTTTTTCCTTCCCCTCTCTCACCCTAAAGCTCAGAATCTTTCATCTTGCCTCTTGAGGTAGGGAAAAGTTTTATTCAGATGGCTTCTTCCCATTCCTTTCATCTACACCCAGACTGTAGCTTTTTTCCCTTTAATCTAAGAATTTGGCATCTTTATTTTCAATGGCCATTGATGACCATGGCCAGCGGTGCTAACCTCATGGTTCACAGTCTAAGTGTGGATGGTTATGGGGTTAAGGTACCCATGGGGAAATGCAAGAGTTAACGTGCCACATGTTCCCTTCCCCAGCCTCCAGGAATCTTGGCTGGGGGCACAAGGTCATGCCAAAGTAGAGTTTGGGGAGAAGCTACAACCTGGGAGTGGCTTCATCTCTGGTTCCCTGTCCCGGTGCAGGACTCGGGAATTGACATCGGGGACATCACCGCAAGGAAGGCTCTGAGGAAACAGCTGCAGTGCAAGACCTTCCGGTGGTACCTGGTCAGCGTGTACCCGGAGATGAGGATGTACTCTGACATCATTGCCTATGGAGTGGTAAGGAGCTGGCCTCCTCCGGATTTCATTCAGACACAGACAGAAAGCAAGACCAGAAAGAGGCATAGGGAAGAAAGGGAGAGGAGAGAAGGAGCCCCTCAGCTGCCCACGTGAAGACCTGCTGTAGGCCGGGGGACCCGGTGCTGGGTTCTGCACTTGTAAGACAGCCTTTACTTTTACAGCTCAAACCCCTCCAGTCCCTTGAAAGAGGTACTTGTCTCTCCTTTAGAGTCCTAAGCAATTCAGCTCTGGCCCCATACCTGCATATTTCGCTTAATAAAACACACAGTAAAGCAATTAGCTTAAGACTGAAAGGTAAGGTAATAAACACTTGCTGTTCTCCCAGCTGGGGTGCCTGGGGGTCTATGAGTCAACCTGTGTGCCTCTCCAACCAAGGGGAAGATGCCTTCCATTCACACCCAGAGCCTCCCTGAAAAGAGTTCTGAGAAACAGAGGCATCTTGTGTTTATTGTATTTGCTGTATTTTTAGTACTGCTTGTTGATGGGCGCAGAGCAGTTCTCCCTGATGGGAGGGAGTGAGGTGGAGGGGGCAGAGCATAGGGTTTGGTGTCAGACAGACCTGGTTCAAATCTTAACCAGTCTTCTTCCCAGGTAAGTGTCTTAACGTCATGGGCCTCAGTTTCTTCATCTGTTAAATGGGGGTAATTCAGTACTGTCCTCACAGAGTAAAAGAAAATCTAAGATTGTAGATATGTAACCTTAGGCAGAAATGTATTTTCTGTCTAAGGTTAAAATGCTTTGAATGTGATAAATTCTCCCATTTTCTCAATATTCCCTGGACCATACAAGTCAAATGCCCTAAGGTATTTTAATTGGTATTTTGATTGACTTTTAGCTATCTTGACTGACTTTTGCTGACGGACAGTCTGAACACATAAAGTTTTGCCATGACAGGCCCCCAAGGCTACTCTGTAGGATTAGTTATATTATCTCCATGTCACAGATGGGGAAACAGAGTCAAAAAGTGATTTTCACAAGCTCACATAATCAGCAGTGAAACCAAGTCTAAAAAAACAGCTTCCAGTATCACTCTGGTTCCTCCCTGTGGAGGGTGTCCCCTCATACCTTTTTAGATATCTCAGGATGAAAACTTGAAGGAAGACCTGAGGTCTCTTCTTTTGATGGCCTGTAGTTAGAGCTGAGTTCAAGACCTGCCCCAGATGGGAATGTAGTGAACAGGACAACTGCCTATGATAGGGAAGAATCTGCTGCGAGATTGAGCTCAGTGCTCCCGATTGGCCCCCCAACTCTTATATACATCCTAGGATTCTAAAGCAGACAGAGCTGGACTTCTAGACCCACCTCCTCCACCCCCAGGGTCTCTTGTCCAGGAGGCCAGCTTGTAGGAGACAGTCTTATCCTCCCATAAGTGTCCCAATGGCATAGTTGACATATCCCAACAGAACCATGCAGTGACCTCTTGCCTCCCCACTTCTCAGGCTGGTGTGATTCACAGGTCAGCAAACATCTCTGCCAGTGCTACTCAGGTAGTACCTGAGTCTCCAGATCCTGTGGTCAGCATGGAAACACATTGCACTATAAGGTGTCCATCTGTCCCTTCCACCTCCCCAGAACCATCCTGAGGACACAGCTGCCTTGGATGCCCCACACGCCACCCATAGCAAGCTATGTGTGCTGCTTGGCCATGGTTGAACCCAATCCTAAAAGGAGATTCATGCAGCTGTGGCTCCAGAGAAACTATTGGTCCCAAGCCTCCGTGAACCAGGGCAAACTTCTGGATTCATGTTCTCAGCAGGCTGTCTAAGACACAATCATGCAGCTGTGGCTGAGCAGAATTAGCCAAACTTACCCAGAGAAGCAGGAGAAGCAGTAACAATAGAGGTGTGTACATGTGGCCACTGTAATTCTGGGTCTTGACCAAAGGCATTCATATCCTCCAAGCAAAAGCATCTCATCTTTTTTTTTTTTTTAAAGCATCTCATCTTATACCCGTGTGCAACCTGTGTATACCCTGTAGCCCCTCCATCCCACCCCCAGCAACATTTAATTTGTCCAATGGTAAGTGGCAAACACAGGGTTGTAATCTAATATGTCTCAGTCAAGAGCTGGGCCTGTTTTTACTGTCATGCTGAAAGCCATTCACTTGTCATCCGAAAGGGCTGAGCTATGTTATCCATCCCAGTGGCTGGCAGAGGGCTCTGACCCCCTGCACATTCATCAGCCCGCCACTGCTCAGGGCCCAGCCAGCCTCCTCCACAGGCCAAGCTTCTATAGGAGCAGAGACATGCCTGCTTGTCAAGGAGCATAATGAACTCTTAATGGAGGCAACTGCCTGAAGATGGGCAAAGTGGGATGCAGCCACAATAACAAGAGTATTTGCTGGGTCTGAATCATTCTTCCTGGTAATTATTTTGGGAGACCAGATGTCTTTTCAGGGGCATAATTTCCTTTTTCTTTTTCTATTCCAACTCATGCCCAAATGACATTGCTCAAGACAAATGACTTCTGGGACTCTGAGTCGAGCCAGTATCAAGTCTATGGCCCAGCCCATTAATCCACTAATAGGTCCCATTAACGACTCCTGCAGGCAGAAGGGCCTGTGGGCCCCATCATGTGGGCATAAGTTTCCCCTGGATCATTGAGCTGCATGTCCAGGAGCTGGGGTAGCCTTGGATTAATCACAGCTTTGGTGCTGAGAGTAGAGATGGAGGGGCATCTGGAAACAGACATGCCTGGCTTCGGAATGTTAGCTTTGCCCCTTAATGGCTGTGTAAACTTGACAATGTGCAAAACCTTAGTGATCACAGTAATGCCATTTCATAGGGCATATTTTACAGTCTCAGAATTATGGCTATGTGCATGATGGAAACAACTTGGGTTCTGGAGTCTGACAAAGACCAGCTCTATCACTTGTTGACCATAATTCCCTTCATTTGGGAATGCCATTCATTTACTCATGTTTTTCATGCACTCACTCACTCAACAGATATTGATTGTCTCCTTTGTGCTTGGCCTGTCTGATGTACTGAAAGACTGAGACCCAGTCTGAGGACCAACAGGGGAGATAGACAAGTGAAGAAGGAAGAAGAATGCAGCCTGCTAAGTGCTACCCTAAGAGAAATGGGGTGCTGGAGAAGCACAGGGCAGTGATCTCATGCCAGAATCGGGTTGGGAAAGGCTTCCAGAGTGGCAGATAAGCTGAGCACCAAGGAAAGGGGCAAAGAGAAGGCCAAGACCAAGGGCGACGTGGGAAAGTGTCCACACAGGCTGAATAGCACCATGGACAGCGAGGAGAGTGGAGCTGGTTACTACGCCACGGCTCCTTCATCCTTGAAGAGATCATATCTCTGGTCTGGTTAGTCACTTTGAGAATTAGATGAGATACATATGGAAAGCACTTTACATGGTACCTGACACATAGATGCGTTCCTAAAAGCTGGCTCCCCTGAATGGCGTTCAGGAAGGTTATAGCAGTAATAATAGCAGCCAACAATTATTGCAGCATTTGTTATTTGCCAGGCCCTGTGCTAAGCACTTGTAGATATTGTTTCACTTAATCCTCATAACACCCTTTTGAGGCAGGCACTTTGATTATTCCTATTTTAGAGAAAACAAACAGGAAGGAGTTACATTGCTTTATTCAAGACCCCACAGCTGGAGCCGGGTTTTCATCCCACCCTGTTGCTTCCAGCGGCTTCAGTGGACTGCCTGCCTAAGAGTTGGGGGGTGGAGGGAGGAGGAAAGACTTTATCAAAAGACACCCACCCTCTCACCCAAGCACTGGCATTAAGAACCCAAGGGAAAGCCAAGTCTACCTTCAGTGCTGTCCAGGTCTTCCTCTGTGCAACAGCAGTTAACAGATTTTGCTAATGGGTTACAGTGCTTGGCTTTAGATGTGACACCCATGTCTTCATGGGCTGTAGGACAAGAGCAAAGTGTGTTTACATGTGCTCTTCCTACTAAGGCAAACCAAGGAGTTGGTTTATAATGGAGGATTTGCTGCAGAAATGCTAGTGGGGGCTCTGCCTGAGACACAGGTTCGTGGGATGTTTCTTCAGAATCTCTGAATTGCAAATTTGGGATTAAGATACTGCCACCCAGCAGAGGAAAGGAAGCTCAAAAGAAAAGAATTCGACTCTTCCTTGTCCTCTGTTAGGAACAGGGTATGCACGGAGCACATGTGGGCCTCTGATTATTGGCTCTACCTCATGCCTCTTCATTGGCTTCATTTCACTCCTGCCACAAACTGTCAGGAGCACAAAGGCCTGGCTGCTGTCTCTGGCCTCCCCTCAGATAGATGGTTCCCCTGTGGCCTCTTGTTCTTGTCTTCCCTGGATTCTGATCTCCAGTTCCCTGTTCTAGGCAGAGTGCTTTGATTGCTAAGAAAAGAACCCACATCAAGCCAGTTCAAATTAAGGTGAGGAGGGTGAAGGTACCACAAACTCTTATAGGAGTCGGAGCTGGACATGGACACTCCAGCTGAGAAGCCACTGAAGCCACTGCAGGGGCAAGGTGGTCCTGCTTGTCTTTCATTCTGTCTGCCTCGTGCATCATCACATTCTTGATCACAACTGGCTTTCTCTGCTTGCACGTGGCCATGACCAACAGACCCCCCCATGCCCAGTCTAAACAGCCTTGCAATTCTAGTGGCCAGCATCCACAGATCACGGTCTCCAGGTCCTGTTTAGATTCGTAATACAGGATAAGAGAGTAATGAGATGGGAAAGAGAGAGAGGGAAAGAAAGAGAGTGATTAATTCTGAAGTGTGGGTCGGTGCCCACCATGGTCCACTCAGTTGTGGCCAGTGAGCAGGGCCATGAGGAATATGGGCTGCCCTTTCTGAGGGCTGTGAACAAGAAGGTGACATTGAATATCAGCTCTTTTACCTAGACGTGTTAATTGCCAAGACTGGATCTATCCACCTGTAGGTAAGGGTCAGAGATGCTCCCACTCTGGTCCCCTCTTTTCTTATTCTGCCACCAGAGGTCACTCCCACTCTGAAAGACCCTAAGCAGGTGGGCCACCATATGGTCTGGCAAAGCCCCTACTGGGTCTGCAGGAGGCAGAGAGCGCCTGGTCCCAGGGGCCCCTCAGGCCTGAAAACAACTACCATGTTGCCCATTTCCCCCAATACTCAAGAGCAAAGATTTCTCTCCAGGACATTTGAAGGCCCCTGAGGAACAGCTGAAGAACAAACACCATCCTGTGTGTGCGCATTCACGTGCAACTCTTATTTTTGCCCCAACTGTCTCAACTCCCAGAACCCAGCTCACTGTTTAATGACATGTAAGTGTTTTTCCTACAGAGGAGGCTGGTCTCCCCTCAGCACTTTTATGCAAGGCAAAAGCTGGTGCTTGTTGGTTCTATAGTGTTCAAGGGACTTGGGCTGATTATAGAAATGCAGTCTGTCTCAGAAGAATACTTGTTTCTCTAGAGTTAATGCATTTGCTCTCTCTATTCCTCTCTCTTTGGTGTGGCCATCTGTTCTCTGATGTTCAGCTGCAGAATTCTCTGAAGACTGATTTGTGTCTTGACCAGGGGCCAGATACAGAGAATGTCCCCATCATGTACATCTGCCATGGGATGACACCTCAGGTGAGTCCTCTAAGAGATTCCTGTGCCAGGAGTGTGCATGTGGGTGCCTGGCATGGGGAAGGAGAGCTAGGCTCTGTCATAGCAGGTCTGGAACCAGGGGCCTCTGGAGCTTCTCAACAAGGCACATCCTCATGAGCTGAAGAGGATGGGTCATACCTGCCTTGCCTGGAAGGAGGCTGGGAGAGTGGATGCTAGGACTCCAGGATCCTCCAGGATGGGGAGCAGGAAAGGGGTTACATTTCTAAAGAGAAACACCTGCCTCCTTTGGGGAAACTATGAGTACACATCACAGTTCTGGCTCTGACAACCAGGCTTCCCCCTAGCAATAGTGGGAGGTTCTCCCAACCTCCCTGAAATATCAGAGTTCCTTCTGAGTGCCATAGCTAGGACCAAAATGTATAACCATGGGCCTCTTTTCTAGCTCTTCTTCTGACCTTCTCCTGGTGGAGAATGAAGGGAAGCGACAGGGAAAATAAGTTATTCTTACAAATTCCCCATTCATAGTCTAAGCTTTAGATACTCAAAGAGGATGCCAAGACACAGGCAAGAGAAATGGTTCATTGAACAAAGTACAGCAGACAACCCTTGACCAAGAATGCCATAGACTGACCTGTTCTGAATTGATAACATTCCCAGAGTTTACTTATCTCCAGAAGCACATAATGATTTGAAAAGGTATTTTCACATATAAGATAGGCATATATGTGCAATTGCAATTAAAAGAGTGTTTAAAAGAGCTGTTGACTATCAAAACAGACATCTGAAGGACATCATGACCTGTATGTCACTCTGTGTGAATGATGAGCCCGCCCAGGTATTGTCCAATGTGACCTCTACAAACTTGTTCTTTTTGTGGACTGAGTTGCTGTGACATTACTGGCTGGTTAATTGCAGGCCAGCAAATCAGGTTATGCCCACAGGACCCAGTATGGCAACACATTCTTCACTGTTACGATGGTGAGACCTTTTTTTTTTTTTGGAGACAGAGTCTTGCTCTGTCACCAGACGCCAGGCTGGAGTGCAGTGGCACTATTTCGGCTCACTGCAACTTCTGCCTCCCAGGTTCAAGCAATTTTCCTGCCTCAACCTCCTGAGTAGCTGGGACTACAGGCACATGCCACCATGCCCAGCTAAATTTTATATTTTTAGTAAAGACTGAAAATACAAAAGCATAAGAATGGGTTTAGCCATGTTGGCCAGGATGGTCTCAATCTCTTGACCTCATGATCTGCCCGCCTCGGCCTCTCAAAGTGCTGGGATTACAGGCATGATCCACCAGGCCTGGCTAATTTTTGTATTTTTAGTGGAGATGGGGTTTCACCATGTTGGCCAGGATGGTCTCGATCTCTTGACCTCATGATCCTCCCACCTTGGCCTCCCAAAGTGCTGGGATTACAGGCGTGAGCCACTGCGCCCAGCCTGGGGAGACATTTTTAATGAGTGTCTGTCTATTTAAACATTGTATTGAAGTAAAACATATATATAGAAAATGAATTATAAGTGTACAGCTTAATCAGTTTCCGGAGTAAACATTCTCAGATCAAAAATAAGAGTATTGCTGCCTGATGTTTGAATTTGACATAAATAGGTCTATGTAGTATATATTTTCTCATGTTGACTTCTTTCATAATTATTTTTTTAGTTTTTATTTTATTTCAATGGTTTCTAGGATACAGATGGTTTTTGGTTACATGGATACTTGGATAAGTTCTTTAGTGGTGATTTCTGAAATTTTAGTACACCCGTCTCCCACGCAGTGTACACTGTACCCAGTATGAAATCTTTCATTTCTCACCCCTCCTCCCAGCCTTCCCTACTGAGTCCCCAAAATCCATTATATCATTCTTATGCTTTTGCATCCTCATAGCTTAGCTCCCACTTATATAAAAGCAAAAGTGTTCAACTGTTGATGGACACGTGGACTATGGCCAGTTTGGAAGTATCATGAATACTGTTGCTATGAACAGACTTGCTCCTGTCATTCGATGTACATATATGCTCACTTCTTTTGGACACGATATCTGGTTTTTCATTTCTGGATTACTTCACTTAGAATAATGGCCTACAGCTACATCCAAGTTACTGCAAAGACATTATTTCATTGGCTTGATCTTGGCTCACTACAACCTCTGCCTCCTGTGTTCGAGTGATTCTCCTGCCTCAGCCTCCCCAGTAGATGGTATTAGAGGCATGCACCACCATGCCCAGCTAATTTTTTGTATTTTTAGTAGAGACAGGGTTTCACCATGTTAGCCGGGATGGTCTCTCTCATGACCTCATGATCCACCTGCCTCAGCCTCCCGAAGTGCTTGGATTACAGGCATGAGCCACCGTGCCCAGCCATTTCATTTCTTTTTATGGCTGATTAGTATTCCATGATGAATATATATCACATTTTCTTTATCCACTCGTTGGTTGATGGGCACTTAGGTTGGCTTCATATCTTTGCAATTGTGAATTGGGCTGCTATAAACATGTGTATGCATGTGTCTTTTTCATATAATGATTTTTTTTCCTTTGGGAAGATACCCAGTAGTGGGATTGCTGGATCAAATGGTAGTTCTACTTTTAATTCTTGAAGGAATATTCATACTGTTTTGCATAGTGGTTGTACTAAATTACATTCCCACCAACAGTGTAAAAGCAAAAGAAATAATCACTAAACAGACAACCCACAGTGTGAGGAAAATATTCACAAACTATGCATTCACCAAAGGACAAATATCCAGAGTCTATAAGGAACTCAACAAGCCAACAAGAAAAAAAACCATAATCTCATCAAAAAGTGGACAAAGGACAAGAATAGACAATTCTCAGAAGAAGATATACAAACAGCTAACAAACACATGAAAAAATGCTCTACATCACCAATCATCAGGGAAATGCAAATTAAAACAACAATGAGATACCATCTTACTCCCTCAAGAATGGCCATAATTAAAAAGTCAAAAACCGGTAGACGTTGGCATGGATGTGGTGAAAAGGGAACACTTCCATCATTACATTTCTGAGATACATCCCTGCTGTTACATGTAGTTGTAATCTGTTTGTTTTTATTACTATTATTCCATTTTATATGCCATAATTCATGATCTGTTCAACTGTTGATGGACACTTGGACTATGGCCAGTTTGGAAGTATCATGAATACTGCTGCTATGAACAGACTTGCTCCTGTCATTTGATGTACATATATGCTCACTTCTTTTGGATTTATGCCCAGGAACAGACTTGCTGAGTCATAGGGTTGACATATTTTCACTTTCAGTAGACGTTGCCTGTATTAATCTCCTCAGGTTGCCAAAACAGAGGATCACAGGCCTTAAACCAATAACTTATTTTCTCACCGTTCTGGAGGCGTGGAAGCCCAGGATTAGAGTGCTGGCCAATTCAGTTTCTGGTGAGGGATTCCTTCTTGTCTTGAAGATGGCCACCTTCTTGCTGTGCCGTCACATGGGAGAGACAGACAGCATGCAACAGTGAGCTCTCTGGTATCTATTCTTATAAGGATGCTAATCCTATCATGTCAAGGCTGGATCCATGTGACCACACTTAACCTTAACTTAAAAATTTGAAGAATTCTCAGCCTATCCATGTTGCAGAAAACTTTGCCAGCCATCTTAACAGAAGCCCAAAATAGAGATGAAATTACACCTGTAGAGAGACTGCCAGTTTAAACTAAAGGGGATAGAGAAAGTGGGATAGAATGAAATAATGTCGTGGGACTTGGAGTCTGTCAGACCGTATGGACCATAAAGCTGTTTGGCTCTCTTTTCAAGAAAAGGAAGAATGATGCAGAAGGCATTTTTAGGGATCATCAGGGCTGCCACTCGCACCACAAGGCCAGGAGAATGTCTGGTGCCCTGTCTAGCCCCAGGGCTACCACCACACAGCCATGGGGGTGATGCTGGCATCCCACTGGGCCTGGAGGACAGAAAATTGAGCCAAAGAGGGTTATTCTTGGGCCTTACGAGCTTATGAAATTTGACTTGCTAAGATTTTGAACTTGCTTGGGATTCCTCACTCTTACCTTCCTTTTGATTTCCCCTTCTGGAATGAGAATATCTTTTCTGTGTCTTTCCCACAGTTGTTGTTTTGGAACCACATGACTTATCTAATCCCACAGGCTCACATTTGGTGAGGAATTTTGCCTTGGTATGAATTGTACTTGGAGTCTTATTTACCTGATGTAGATGATACTTAGATGAGACTTTGGACTTTAGAGTTGTTGCTAGAATGAGTTAAGATCTTTGGGGTTTTGGGGATAGAATGATGTATTTTACATTCCTTAAAAACATGCATTTAGGGAAGATAGGGGCAGAATGTTAGGGACCACATTGTGCCCCTCCCCAAAATTCATATGTTGAAACCCTGACCCTGGTAGTATTTCAAGTGAGGAAGTAATTAAAGTCAAGTTAGGTCATAAAGGTGGTGCCCTAATCTGATAGGATTAGTGTCCTTACAAGAGTAGATACCAAAGAGCATGATCACTAGCTTTCTTTTCTCTCTGCCATGAAAGACACAGTGATACAGCTGCTGTGTGCAAGCCAAGAAGTGGCTCCTTAGCAGAAACTAAATTGGCCAGCATCTTGATCTTGAATTTCCCAGCCTCCAGACCTGTGAGAAAATAAATTTATTATTCATGCTACCCAGTCTATGACATTCTGTGACAACCTGAGTCAACTAATACACTGCCAAACAGTTTTCCAACCTTGTTGTACCAATTTTTACTCCTCTCAACTTTATATTAGAGTTCTAGTTGTTCTACATCCCTGCCAACATTTGGTATTATCCATATTTTTAATTATAGCCATTGTAGTGGGTGTATAGTACTATCACTCTGTGGTTTTAATTTGCAGTTGATTATTAATGAAGTTGGGCACCTGGGTTTTCAGCATAAAATATCTTCATGTTATTCTTGAATGTGGGCCAAGGTAGCCAGGTTACAAGTCGTTGGTATTTTTGTAAATTTGCACTCTGTTTTCTGGTACTTGTGATCTT